TGTGTGTGTGTGTGTGGTCAGACTCAGTGAGAGCACGAGACATGTCGAGAAAATGGACGGGGGTCGGGAGGCGAGGTGCGCGTTTGATCCTGCTGCTGAGGCCTACATAGTATATTAACCAGGTTTCATTTCTTCTCAAAAGATGAGACTTGATTTGACATTTATTCTCTTTCTGCTGCATTTTTTTAATTATAACTTCAGTCATTGTATCTAATGTGCCCACTAACAGTCGCTGAGATTATACATATTATATAATATCCAGGGGGTTACAAATTATTTAAAAAATAGTCACTATTATGGTTGTTATAGGAATGAGTGATTGTTGCCACACTTAGCGAGATTTAATCTTCACACAGTATTCAGGAAGCAGAATTTAACAGAATTTAACAAATGAGAAGTTTAAAAGAGAGAAAAGGTATGAACCACGTATCAATATTATATGACATTATTTGAATATTTTTTGTAGAAATTATTTTTGTTTGGAGTTACAATAAATTATAAAAAATTACATTTACAATTATTCCAAATGAGCATTTTATTACACTGAGTGTAAACCTTGCAGTAAATATGACTGTTATTTGCCTTCTTGCTTGTACTTTTTTCCATTCAATCAAATGGATGCATGGATTTACATGCCTGTTAGACAAGCTTGGTTTTTCCAGCCGGGGGAAAAAAAAAAAAAAAAACGAGGCAAAGGATCGGACGAGAGTGCTGCCAGTCCTAAGTCATTCATTTTCATCCAACAGTCTGTCTGACAATCACACAGAATTGCTTTCCTGTTAAGAAAATATAAATTATTTTATTCTGATAAAAGTTGCAAAGAGCTTTTATATCTATAAATGTTGCTTGCAGATACATGCCAAGTGATGGGCTACTAAACAACATATTCCAAGGTACAAACAGTCCTGACAGTCCTGAGAGACAGAGCCACTGACCCTGAGGCCAGAGTTTCTCTCTTTAAATCACCTTGAGATCGCCGATTGCTGTTTGCAAGGATGTTCTTGTGACATTTTGTGTTTAGCAAAAATGTCCTTCAAGTTCTTTTCCTTTAGCAAACAACATCAACATCATTTTACTGAGAAATGTTCTATTGCTGAGTCAGTCCAGGTACACAGTGGATAAAGAGACATGAATGCTGCATTACACCAGGATACAGTGTACATCAAAGATAAAAGGAGAGACTAAGCCTGTGAGAAATGACAAGACAGGGATTCTGGTATTACTCCTCTATTTCTGAGCTGGTAGTAGCTGTATTAGCTATTCTGTGTGTAGGGCTCATCCCCTCTGAGCCTGAATGGTGTCAAGAACTGAGACTTGGGAGGGAATAGTTTATGAATGTAGAACATTGAGAAATGATGTAAAGGAACACATTTCATTGTGGATCAAAGAGCCGGGAGTGTCGTAGCCAGAAGAATATGTATTGCAGTATACTGTATGCATTATTTACTGACTGTAGTTTGGTGTTTAGATATGGACTGGAATAGGCTAATTCATTGATCCTACATCTAAAAATAGAAATTTAAGACATGTTTACATTGGCAGAGAGGTCAGAGGAATAGTTTAACATTTCAGCAAATACCACTTTCTTGCCAAAAGCTAGATGAGAAGGTACTACTACTCTTACGTCTGTCCGGTAAATATTCAGCTACAGCCAGCAGTCAGTTAGGTTAGCACAGCATAAAGACTGACAGCAGCCTGGTTCTGTCCAAAGTAAAAATACACCTATCCGAATTTCCAAATAGGACTGGATACTAGTTATAGGGTGCAAAACCCACGGATCAGTCTTTAAAGCAGTTGCTCTTCCCTACTATTCATTCCACTTCAAAGTAAAACACACAACTCACATCTGTTTTGTCTATCTTTTCCACTGTACCGAGATTTAGGAAATTATCACTTTATATAATAAGTTAGTCTACAGTTCACATGCATGCTGAACCGTGGAGAGCGGTTTGTATGGATCACAGATCTGCTATGATCCATTGCAACACTAATGAACAGTATATGATGCTTGTATTATAACAAGTCTATTGTAATTAAATGTACAACAGGACCAATTGTTCCATCCAGTGGCTTGATGAACAAAATAATCTGTGCTGACATTTAACTAATTAGGCATGTTCCATTAATACACTGTTAATCAAGGTTTATAAAAAAAAACATGCTGTTAATTTTTCTCATGAATGAAATCTGACAAATAAGACTTCTAAATGATGTCTCTATTCAAGACAAAACTGTGAATAATTTTACCATTAGGGTTTATTACAGTAATAAATGAATATTCAGATCAACCAGACTAATTAAATTAAACTGGAGCAACGCTGCACTTTTCTGCTTTGAGATGAACCCGGAGACACATAAAAAATGAATGAGAGTAAACTCTCAACAACAAAAAGCTCCTCTTTTTATTTCACCTCTGAATAGTTGAATAATGAGTGGTAAACTAAATCATCTTTCGAATTATGTTTTATCTTTTATATACATATCTCTTTACAGAGAGTGAGTGGATGTCATAAGTATATTTCAAAGTGGTCAGACACATACAGTGAGACAACCCAACCGGGTCTATTAACGAAAGAGATGGAGAGCAGGACAGAGTACTGCGGATACAGAAATAGGTACATACTGTCACAGCTATACCATGATCATAACACTTTTATCTGATCTCATAAATTGACTCGTAAAGGTAGACCATAACACCTGCCAACGCTGTTACGTGTGTTTGTGTGTGTGTAAGACATCACGTGGGAGAGCAGCGGCTGAACAAGTTTGTCTTTGGTCTCCTGAATGTGACTCAGAGTTTGGTGAAAAATGGCTCTATTTGTCCCTGTCATCTCTGTACTGTTTTCCCAGCTGTACCACTGCCTTCTGTCTGGATTATTTTCAGCTGTGAATTTCACACAGGTCCTTGAGTCTTCCACGTCTTGATTGCCCTTAAATTCCCTTTTCCAGACATGCTTTGTTTTGAAAATACACATGTCAGTTACCTTGCCCATGGGTCTTTGCCAGCCATACTTTGAACAGGATTTCTTGTACATGGTCTGGTTTCCCTTCTAGGGTCACATGCTTCTCTGAGGTTTCACTTGAGCTGATCTCATGTTTCATCATCTTTTGTAAAAACATGTAGGGTTAGAGGTACAGCAAACCTTTGAGAGACAAATCCCTCTGGAAGGGGCCTGACAGGGCACCTCATGTTTTTTGGGAGGATAGCATGGACGCAATCTGGCCCAAAAACCTTGTGTTTTTAGTATCTAAAGTCCCAATCAGTTTGTACACCGACATCCCCACATCAACCAAGTCCTACTTCACATCAAGAGCTCAGATTAGGCAAAATCAGTTTCTGACTGACGCGTAATTCTTCAAAAGAAAGTGACTATTTTAAAATGGATGCACCAGTCCAACTTTTCCTCTCTCAATACCAAATCCAATACCTAAACTGAGGATATCTGCTGACAGTGAGTACCCGTCTGATACCAGTCCTTTTTCCTCAAATTTAAAAAAATCTGTATAACATTACCTCACTGCAGGAAACTTATTGGGATCATTATTAGGTAAACTAACAGCAGGTTCCAAAATTAAAACCCGCCAAGCAGCAAATGCGGGTAAATCATCACCAGCCAGGTGGCCAGAAGATAAATTGAAATCACAGCATATGTTTATAAGTTCATCACTGTGTACCAGCTGACACTACTATGACCCTCACTGTCTACAATCACCACCTATGGTGACATCAGCTAATCAAATCAAAACAGCTTACTACACAATGTCTATGTTTTTGTCGCAAGAAACATATACTGCATGTCGTCACATTCTTAGTGTTAGACACAGACGTTTTTGAGGGGTGGTGTCTAGGAGCCCCAAGATCCTGGAAAAAATATGAAGCTCAGAAAGGTTCAGAAAGGTTTAAAACATGAGGTAATTTTTTTTTGTTAAATAAGTTTTATGGCTGGTAAAAAATATTTTTGTTCTCAGTTTACTTGCCATTGGCCAATGAGCCAAAAAGTTAATTTTGGACCCTGGCTAACAGGCTGTAACTGTAAAGTAACTAAACTACAAGTGGGAATGTTCATTTTCATTCTTTTTAGGCTTGTGTAAATTTTAATTAAATGTTTCTACACAGCTTACAGGATTGCATAAAGCAAAACTGGTTAACTTTTTATCATATCCTGACCTGAGGGCAGGTTACACCATCCGGTTCAACTGAGACACAAGAAGAGACAGCATCAATAAGTGCCCCAAAACAACATTAACATTTAAGTGAGAAAGCCTTCTAGCTGCAGCCATAGAAACAGACAGAAGCAAAAGGAGGAAGTCAGGTGACGTTGCTATAGAGTCCACGTAAAATGGATTTATTTGTCAGAATACAGACAGCTTTGATAGACCGAGGACATAGTGATGCTGTCCCTCCTGCCCTGGACCTCATCTACAGTTCATACCGTGATTCTGGAGGAAACAACACAAGTGCCAGCATGATTAAACATTATTACTGATGGATTAGAAATGTTTTGAGGCATCTTTGTACAGTGAAATCTTTTCTGAGATAATGCATACATGTGAGAACACATAGTCAAACTGTTACACTCAAGTCCATGTGTA